GTATCTGGAATTCTGAAGACTTTAAGAAATTTCCTGAAACTTCTGGCAATGTGGTCAAACCCTGGACGATATGTGGGTTCACTGACTCTACGTATACTTTTTATTTTCCTGGAAACTGCTGAAATGGACACTGAGGGCGACTCTCACTGATACAAACTTAAAGTCATAACTGGGATGTTTCCTGACAGAATTCACCCTGAGATTCTCGAGATGAGTTCTATCTCTTATAAACGTGTCTTCTCACTGACTTGCTTAATATTGACCAATGACTTAAAGGCCTGTATCACTGTACTTCTTCTTTAGGGATTTCATGTTACTGCTAAAAGGCACATTTCTTGATTTTATTAGGTATACGTTAACAAGATATGCTTCATAATTGTTATCAATTTTTTAATTAAGGGAATTGGTATAAAAATGCATTCATGAATACTCAGACCATTAACGGGAGGATATGGATACCTCTGTCTTAGAAGCTAAAGGGAAAGGAGATTAAAATTGGAGCTGTTCTAGAAGAGAAGTCGTGCTAATCAGGGAGAAGTGTGCATTACAGAACCACCGACTAACACAGCAATAATCGTTGAGCCCTTCTTATATATCAAAGTAGAAGTGGAAAAAGAACTTAGGGAATTAAGATGAACAAAATGATTAGACAGGTTTATTTGAGACGGAGAATGGGCAAGGAGTATATTTGGCCATTTTTTATCCTTCTAGATTCTCCTTGTCATCCTCGGGGACATCAGTCACTGCCCTGTCCTAGTCACATTCAGCAGTTAAATAGCTAGAGATATATCTTCCTTCCTAGAGCCAAAGAAAGGCCAGAAAGAGGGTACAACCTTTGTCCTTGACCAGGCTGTCCCCACAACCCCCTGCCACCATTCCTCCTAGATTCCAAGGGTCTCTGCTCCAAGCCCTCCAGAGCTATAGCACCTGCCCACCCATCTCCTTCCTTTCAGCCCTGTTGCCAGAGTGGGAACCTGTCCCTTCTCTTCCTCTTATTCTGGGACAGATTTTCTCAAATGACCTTGCTCGTGTCTGATATCTCTTCAGTCTCTTCCCCACCCCACTCACTCAGCTTTCTTTTCTGTAGGTAACACCCAAGCCGTTGGCCGTAAATAACCTGGCCTTTTCCACTTCCCATGCTGTGTGGGCTGGTCTGATCATCAGCACCTCTCTGGCTCCTGTTTCCTTCCTCCCCTCATCCCAGGGCCCAGTCCTCACCACACAGCACATTCCAACCCCACCAAGGGAGCACACACTGGCACAAGGAACAATCACACTGATATTTCTGCAAGCTGGAAATTCTCATAATTAAAAGTTCTTTTGCAAGATCTCAGGAGTCTAAATAACCTGAAGGGGAGAGAAGCACTAACATCTTATCAGGAAATGTGATCAGTAGAAACAGATAAACTCAGTAATAGAGGCCTACAGTTTTACTCTAGGGCCCAGTTATCAGATATAAATATTTCTTTTGATTAAAACAACATGATACGCTTGCTATATTCATTACATACTCCTAGCACATTCAGAAAGTCTCTAAAAGCAGCAACAGTTAGAATCAGCCATGTAATCAAAAGTTAGTTCTAACATAATCACTTTCCTAGCTTCACAAAGACAGGTCTTAAGACAGTAGCCATCCACTGAAGGAGGAAGAAACAATTACTTTGATAAAACAAAGCTCAACACAAGTGTAAAACACTACATTAAAGACAAGCGAAGCACATTAACTGATGGGCAGTAGTCACCATGGTGATATTTACTAATAAGAAATCTTAGAAGATCAACTGAGTTTGCCATATAATTATCATAACAGCAAGTGTAAAGATGACACCTTTCTAAACGCAGACAATGAGACCATTGTCAAGTCCAACACTATCTAGATCTCCGTCTGGAAAACCAAAAAGCACTGACATTAGATAGCATTCAGACTTCTGACATCACAACGTGTTGTACTTTACTCTCCCAGAAAAAGGACAAACATGGTTTATCAAGGTGACAGATCGTGTTCATTTTGATAAATGCAAGCTGACAAATTATCACAAGAGAGAAAAGATATTAACCTTTTACACAAAAGATGGCTCAAATATGTAGCTTTTTACAGTTTCTGAAGGACTCATACCACCACGAAAAAAGACCTTTATTTTCTTTAAAGTGGGCTTTCTTCGATATCAGAAAAGAGGAAAAGGTCTAAATATCAGTTACAATCAACACCAATACACAACTCATGTATTTAGGTAGAAAATTATAGCTACTCTGCAGTTTTGCGTCCCTCTCTCTCAGAACAGAGACACACAACACACAAACACACTTCACTGCCCTTAAGGGCACTAAATACACGTGTCCTGATATTTAACTCCATGACGAGCTGCCAGATGACTTCTCAGAGGCAGTTAGCTTGTCCGTTCTAAATGCATTCCTGGCAGTTTTTCTGCTTCCTGAAGCAAACTTCCTGCAATCTAACCAGTGCTGACCTTCTCCACTTTAAAATTTGCCTACAAATAAGTCTCTTAACACAAGAGAGAGTCTCTATTGCCCAAGAGATGGGCCGGCTCGACAGACTGGTTCCAGAACCTCGTTGAGAAAATGCAAGCTCAGATGACTGTTCCCAAAAGAAAACAATCCTATACAGTAAATAATCTCATTCCACATCCTCGAGAACGTGTACACCTGTTATAAGGCTTGATTAGGCACATGCCCAAAATGTTCAGCTCAGGGGACCCACCCAGGCCTCTAATCAGAATCTCTCCTGCTGACAGTTCAGTGAAAACATCAGAGGGTCACTGAAGAACACTGCTCTCTTGCAGTTCCAAAGTGCACAGGGCACCACACGTGGGGCTCAGACCCAAAAGATGGAAACAATCAAAAAGTGAGTGAATGGGCCGGCCTGGTGGCATAGTGGTTAAGTTCACGTGCTCCTCTTTGGCAGCCTGGGATTTGTGGGTTCAGATCCCAGGCGCGGACCTCCACACCACTCATCAAACCATGCTGAGGCAGCATCCCACATGCAAAATAGAGGAAGATTGGCACAGATGTTAGCTCAGCAACAATATTCCTCAAGCAAGAAAAGGAAGATTGGCAACAGATCTTAGCTCAGAGCCAATCTTCCTCACTAACAAAAAAAAAAAGCAAGTGAAGAAAGGATGGGAACACTCAGCTAATGCAAAAATGAAATGTTTCAAAGGAAGAATGATTTGACGGTAATTGAGACCACTCAGGCAACCAGATTGCTTCTGAAATTCTATGAATTTGGGGAAAAAACAAGGTTGCTTGACTTAGTGGTCAACATAGACATTTCGTCAAATAATTAGCTTGACTCAGTGTTTCCTTTTACCTGCTGGAGCAGTTTACACAGAGGTGCACGCACTGGGATAATGTTTCCAGGCCAGGTCTACAGCCATGGAAATTAAAGGAAACAGGCTAAATCCCTGCCAAATAAATAAATAAATATGGGAGGGGGGTGGCTCATGGAGATCGTTGTCTCCATTCACTATCACTTCATCTGCAGCAATCTGGCTTTGGATGCTGACTTGTGCTATCCACTTTAATATCAGAGTTGTTTCTAATGTAGCAATAATGATGGTAGCTGCCACTGATGGAATGCGTGCCATTTCCCAGGCAGCATGCTACAGTCTGTATTCATTCATTCATCCAATTAATATTTAAAGAATGCCCACCATGTGACAGAACTGGTATAGGTTTTGGGGTACAGGCTGAATAAAACAAAGTTCCTGCTGTCACAGAACGTTCATTCCAGTAAGAGATGAAATAAAACAGAAGAATAAATATGGAATGTACCAGGTGGGGATTGGGGCTGTGAAGAGGAAAGGGGATAAAGGTGCCAGAGGGTGACGGGGTGAAGTATGCCATCCTAACAAAGACCACCGGGAGCATACTTGTAGTTCAGGAACACAGTAGGTTTACTGACTCCCTGCAAGAAGGGAGAACGCACCCCACTGGGTTCCAGACATCTAAGTAAGGGATGTCCAGTGAAATTATTATAAGATTTGGGCTGTGTTAGGTGATTGGGGGGGGGCGGTTCAGGAAAGCAGGATTTTGCTCCAAATTGGATACTATCAGGAAGTGAGGGTAATTCTATGATTGGGTATCTTAGTGATTCTCATCTAGAAGGTGGGAAGAATGAAGTGAGGCAGTCCCTCACAGTAGCCAGAAGGGGGATATGTGGCCATAGTTGTGGTTTGGACAATCTTGGTTTCATCTGCATTTGGACATGATTATAAAGGGGTCTTGCTTTTGTCTTGACCAACACAGTCAGAGAACAGCCTTATCGGATGCTGGTGTTCAGTGAATTATGTTCAACAGGAGAACGCCACAGCTGAGCTGTGAGTGCCAGGCCAGCTCCCCATGGTTAGCAGCTGTTCTTCTCTTTCCTATGCTCAATCCTCACTCAACCTCCCAAGATCAGTAATATTACTATTTCTCTTTTATAAATGAGGAATCTAAGGTCCAGAGAGGTGAAGGACTTATCATAGAGCAAGCAACTATAAGAGCATGGATCCAAACTCAGGTTATCTGACTCCAGAGCCAGCCTCTTATCCACCCCACACATGGGCCCGTGCAGTGCTGAGCCTTTGAATTCCCTTGACAAGATGTTATCTTCGAAAGGGCCAGGTGGTTTCAGTGGGAGAGGGGACACAAAGCCTACAGGGGAAGCTGCTACCAGTAGACACCCCTGGTACCTAGTCCAGAGGATGCGCAAATGCCACAAAACTCCACCTGGTCATCATCAAGGCGAAAGCATTTTTCTCCCAGTGATGAGGAAACATTTTCCATTTTATTTAAATTGGAAGGCTTCTCTTTCAATAATTTAATAAAAACCAATTTATCTCAGCCACTTATGAAGTAAATTTTAAATACTGGAACAAGTATGTTAAAATACCATAAAGGTAATATTCTAGCGTGTAAGAGCAAGAGTCAGAGGCAATTAATATTGTATCCTCTATTTTATAAACACCCTCTCTCACAGCAGCAAAATCGGGGCTTACCAGCAGGTTTTCTGGCTTGAGGTCCCGGTGGACAATGCTCTTGTCATGCATGTGGACGAGCGCCTTACACAAGTCCATGAGCATGAGGGCAGCGTCACGCTCTGGGAACTTCACATTTTCTATGATGGCATCAAAAAGGTCCCCTCCCTGCACATACTCCATGATCAGGTAGATTTCCGTTTCCGTTTCGTACACTTCATGCAATTTCACTATGTTGGGATGAGAGAGGCTCTGGATAATTAAGATCTCACTGTCAACCATGTCCTCCTTACCCTTGAGTTTGGACTTGTCGATGATCTTCATGGCATAAGTCTGCCTGGTCTCGCGGTGCCTGCACTCCTTCACCACGGCAAAGTTCCCGTCCCCAATGACCCGGCCCATCTCATAATGCTTCTCCACGTTGGCCGTGATGATGCCCGGGGGCCGCCGCTTCCGGCCGCTGGGCCGCTCTTGCTTCTTTTCCTCCAGCCTCGTCTTGGGCTCCTTTTCTACCCTTGCAGGTTGGTCATCTCTGGGAACCATCTTTCTCCCTTCTGACACACATGGCTTTTTTTCCTTCTCTGGTTCCTGCTCTTCCCCTCGGGTCCTGGGGAGCTTCTCGGGGTTGGCCTGGCGCTCCCACAGGAGCCAGCCACCATGCTTGGTCCTGCAAATGTTCCTAGTGTCCTTCTTCACATCCCTCAGCCCCTCCTCTCTGACGGGCTGAACTTCCATGAGACCCTTCTTAGCCTTGGCTGCTGCTTGAGGATGACCCTCCTGACCTTCAGACTCTCTGTCCTCTTTCTTGTCCGTGTTTTTGCTGGGTCTCCTCAGCTCCTGAGTGGGGTTCCCGGGACTGCTCCTGTGGCTGTCACCCTTCCACCCTTCCTCCCCACTTGGAGGGTTTGCTTCGGGGGACCTCCTGCAGCTTCTCGTCCTCACCAGCTTCTCCACGTCGTACCTTTGGCACTTCCCCATGTCCAGCTCACTGGTGCCCAGGGAGAGCCTCTCCCTCTGCAGGCTCTGCTGGAGCTCCCTCTCTCTCTTGCACTTCTCGCATCTGATAATTTCACCCGAGGTCTTTTCGACCTCCACCCCCAGGTGCTTCTCTCCACTGGCATGCCTCTCTAGAGTGGCTTCCCTGGGCGGCTTGCTGTCTGGTTCAGGCTCCCGTTTGCCCCTCACCCACTTCTTCTGGGCCCTTGCCCTGTCCTCCAGCACCGGCTCCACGGGGGTCTTCCCCTGGAGTCTGATGGCTGCCTTGGACCCAGCAGCCTCACTGCAGTTCTTGGCGGTCTCAGTCTCCCCACAGCAGTGACCCTCCTTCAGAGCCTTGCTATAAAGCCTGCTTTTCAGCCTTGGAGAAGGGACCCGGCTGTGCTGGGTCAATGTCAAGGTCCGGGCTTTATTGGGGTACAGTTCCTCTAAAGCCACCTGAATGTTCTTCAGTGTCAGCGGTTCTTTGCCCATGGCTATGAAAGCATCGCCTTCCCTGAAGAAATCGGAGACGCTCTTGATCTCCCTGCCCTTAAGGTTAAACAGTTTCCTCACGCGATCACTCTTCCATCTTGGAAAGCCCAGCGCCTCTGAGACGTCTGCCAAGAGCTGCTCGAAGGTCTGCACTGAGCGTCTGTTGAGGAGCAGGGTGATCTTCCGGAGGGGGTGCCCGCCCAGCTTCACCACGGTCACAACCCTGGGCTTCAGCGCGCTGTTCTCAGCATGGACAGAGGGAAGGCCACTCTGAGGGCCGAACACAGGCGCGACGGAGCTGTGAGGTCCCAGGAATGGTTTCTCCAGACTCCCTCGGCCAGCAGGCAGCCACGTGCCCTGCAGCTTCCGCTCCGTGATTCTCGAGCTTAAATATTTTAGAGAATGGTCACATAGGCCTCGATGTCCTGCAAGAGGAAAATGACAACACAGTATTAGACAAGAGGGGTTCAAAGAGCCGTTTGGCCGTCACCGGAACTTTGCGGGAGATTACTAAGCGTGATCTTTGAGGGTCTGCTTGAGACGATGGAGCCTTTAGACTTTAGGGCTAATCCCTAGTCTCCTCTATGAGACACCAGGAGCGCAGAACAGAGTCGGACTGGGCCCAAGGTGGCTCCTCTAGGCCTGCCAGGAACCCCCAAGATGGGCCACACCTCGGGAGCCCTCTCTAGGCAAGGCCTGACCCTGGGAACACAACTCCAGCTACCCCAAAGTGAACTGACCTTCAAGAATCTACAACTGAGATAAAAGGTCCAAGGTTTGCTGCTCAGGAAACAACCAAGGAAAGGTCAGAACATTCTGGAACTTTAAAGAACCCACCTCATTGCCAAGAATAGTTTTCTCAGCTTGACTTCCAACTCACTCCAGGTGAGGCAATCTGTGAAGAGGTCATGATCACAGAGTCTGAGACAGATCTGGATTTGAATCCTGGCATGGCTACTGACTATTTGTGTGAACTTGGGCAAATTACTCATGTTTCAATTTGTTCATCTCTGAAGTAGGAATGACTAACACCTTCCTCCCAGGGTTTTTGTGAAGAGTAAATGAGAAAATGATTACAATTCACTTAAAGGAGTGCTTGACACACAGTAAGGGTAGAGTAATCGCCAGTTATTAATACTATCCTTATGATCTTAATATCTCTTTTGTATTAGACTTTCATTTGGTAGTAATGTAATATCTTGATAAAGTAGAATTCGACTGTACACAGTGTCACCTGGCATCATAAGAACTCATGGACCAACATGCTATGGTGGACATTTCTTAAAGCTCTGAGATTCTCTTGCATTGGGGGTCATAAAAAAAAAAAGAAAGTTGAAGGAGATTTCAGTCTAGGTATAGAAACTTTCTCCTCCAAGTGGTTTTTCCTCTCATTATTAAAAAAAAAGGAAAGAAAGAAAGCAAGGTTATATTAACATTTAGAGCTTTAATAATGAGAATATGCTTGTTCTCATTATATTTCCTGATAAACTGAATAAATGAATAAAACAAGACTGTATTTCCTAATCAGCTGTACTCAGCCGGAATAAAGTAGTTGAAACAAAAGTGGTTGCGTTTTTATTTCTGTCCAGGTCAGTAAAGGAAACAGGAAAATGACAGAATATGTAACTCGGTTAAACCATGAGCGTGGTCTGCAAATTATTAAAGTTACCCCCCCAGGATCCATATGTCATATCCTACATGTAGGAATCTACTGTTTATGCTTCCTTTAAAAAAAACGTTCAAACTAATTATTTTTAACTGCATTTGAATGGTGGCAGAAACTCCAGGATGGGCAATGTGGCCTAGCATATTTACACAGAATGTTTTTTGCTTTTTAATTATAGCATACAATCTGTTCTGAGATGATTTCCATCTAGACACAGGTGTCAGATTAGATGACAAGTAGTGGCTGGTACTGATCTTCCCACCTGCCAGAAACTGATGAGCTTAACAATCACACTTACAGTTAAACTGTTTATTTATGGACATCTGTTATTCCTTTTCTTCTCATAATCTCTCTAATCTGCCTCCATTTTTGTCTGAGAGAGTTGATGCTGAGAGAGAGAGAGAGATCAGCAGCAGTAATATCAGACTGTGTTCCCTCACTGGAAAAATTGAGGCAGGGTGCAAGGAAGGTGGCCTTCAGGTGCGTATGTCATTTGTTTTCCTGATGGTGCTTCCCACAGAGTAGACCCTCGATACACAGGTTTCAGGCTAAGTCAATGGAAAAGAACTCTCTATTCCAGGGCAGGGAGGGGAGGGGGATTTTCAGGGGAGAACCAGGAGGACAAGGGAGCATTTGGTAAATACATTAGGGATGGGAGAGTTTAGCATGGAAGGGGGCTCAGGAGGGTCCCAGAGAAAGATCCAATATGGGATGTCAGGGAGGCATACAACAGTATTCAGGGAACAGGAGCGACACTGGTGGGGCTCACACGTTGAGTGGTGACGAAGGATGACAGAGAGGCAAGTCACGATGGGACCAGTGGTCTCAAGGTCCCAAACAGTGAAATTGTGGAGCTTGGGTGTGGTGACAGATGACTTGGCCCTGTGGTACCCAGAGTCAGGGTGAGGGAGGGAGGTGGCGTGCTCTCTGGGACGGCTGTGCGCAGCCAGTTTCAGCAGACCCTATCCCAGAACCAGTCCTGAATCCTGGTAGTTGTCCTCCTGTCCTCCTGGTGGGAGCAATCTGGGAGCACTCCATCCCTGAACCCAGGAGAGGCTCCCCAACAGTGGCCTCCATCCCAGGGCACGGACACAAAGGGTGTGAAGACACGCAGCTCAGCCTCTGCGGCACCACCAGCAGGCATACTCAGTCCACTACCAAGATACTTCACGCAGTGAAAACCTCTGCAGTCTGCGGCAAGAGTGAGAACTCAGTCCCGCTCCTCCCGAACACACCTGGGAGCTACAGAAATGGCACTTCTCATTCTGTCTGCATCAGGCTACCAGGGAGCGCCAGGAAAACACAACCTCCAGATGCAAACATTTTTATCTTCTCTTCCACAAGCCCACTTTCCTCCTTTAAAATTCTTAGTCCAGAGCAAGGGTTTTCTTCTTTAAAGGGAAGAGAGAAAATCAGGACACTCTGAATGCCCGGTCCATAGGCAGGGGGAGCAAACATAGGGAGAGCAGAGCACATCCCGCGGGCCTGGGCCCTGTCTCCAGGAATAGTGTCATCTCCCAGGGACAACAGCACTTTCAGGCTATCTGCAAGCAGCATTACTGCAGTACTTACCCCAGTCACCCTGACCAGAAAACAAAGGCCAGCCCGTGTCCACTCATCTCCAACAACAACTTACAAAATCGATTTAATGGAACCACATGAAATTGCCAGTAGTTCTACCCATTACCAAAAAATGGAAATTCCATATGGCTCAGGCTAATATGATCTAGGATAATAAGTCCTACTCTGTCCCTACATCGACAGTAAATAGTTACGAACGTGGCAACAGTAAAGACTGAACATCCAAATTCCCAGGCCTCAGCCACCAAGCCAGCAGCTTCCCAGGAAGGGACAGGGAAAAGATGCTCTTGTAGCACCCTTTCTGTTCACTTCCTACAGCAACATAAATTGAACTAGCCTCGAGTTGACAGTACTGCTGCTTTGCCTCATACGCCACAAATACAAATGTTTATAGGGTTTCTCCCCTGCACCAATCTAACCCCACGCATACAGCAGGACAAGCACTGCTTTCTCTGAGCCACTCCTCTGCTCCAAAACCTACAGTGGCTCCGTATTACCATCCTGCAGGATGCCAAACCCGAACTCCTCAACTTGATATGTAACGCCCTCCAGAATCCAGCGGCCCCCATCCATCCCACCCCTACTCCACCCTCACTCCTCCCACCCATCCCAGCCTCACCATCTTGTAAGACCTAAGACCCACAGCCTCCACCAAACCTTCCCTGACCTCACAAGCTCACAGTCAGCTCCCTCCTCTGGAGCTCTGTTCATTCACTCAAGCAACATTTAGCCTGAATGCTTGAGACCCAATACCAGCACTTGGCTGCAGAACACCGGGTCTCCCCTCCTGCTAACTGTTGCCAATCTCAGCTAATTGTTGCTTCATCTTCACAGGTGTAAATCTTCTCCCTCTCAACTTAAGCTCCCCAAAGGCAGAGACCATGGATTATGCAAATTCCCCTTCTCAGCCTTATTACATAGAGCAGGCACTCCAGATTTGGGAAACTAATTCCCAGCGCTAACATCAAACACGTGTACCCAGCCTCAGTCCTCCAGCTCCCCTTGTAAATAATGGAGTGTAACTGCTTCCAGCTCTGGAAGACATCACACGACAGACCTCCCAAACAGATTAAATAAACAAGGTGAAATAAAACATGATCCCAGACGTCCATTTGCCACAAGGAGATTTGCCGCAGCCGCATTTATAAAGAGCGACTATATGGGTGGGGGGAGCAGTACATTTCTTCAGAGTCTGTGAAAGCTTCCTTTTAGAGTAGTGCCAGGAACACCGAATACAGCGTCGGAAGACCTAACTGAAATCCTGGTTCCACCAGGCTCTTATTAGCTGTGTGACCTTGGGAAGGTAACATAATCCCTCTGAGCCTCAGTTTCCACATCCGCCAAATGGGATAGCTCACTCATGCTGAGGATGCCCAGCACGCTGCTTAGCAGAGTGGGCACTCAAACTGGGCTTATTTTCTTCCCTCTCCGAAAGAAAAGAGGCTTGTAACCTTGGATTTCCCCAAACCCATGTACGTACATCTCAAGGGCAAAGAGAATGCAATGCTAAATGTGACTCAGCGGGGTGACTGTGTCATTCATGTAGCAATTGAAATAGAAAACCAGTAGGGACAGGGAAATAAGAGAAACACTCCAGCAAATCTAAGCCTACAGCTCTTCTGGGGAGAGAAAAAAGCTCCCTACTCACTGATCCTAGGACTCTTGGTGTGAGCCAATAAACTTGGTAAGTCACAGGCCTCTTACTGTCGTTGCCTCTAATGGGTTTGGCTCCTGGCAATCGTGTCTTCTATCTGCTGCCACAATTCAGATGAATTAACGTAACCTGATTCCACAAGGGTCAGAGTGACACTTCATTCTACTGAAAAGGCCTTCAAAATGACTGGAAGTCACATCAACCCAGTTTCCTTTCTAATCATTTAGTATTACTTTGTTTAGGCTGCTAATCAGCGAATTTAGGATCAAGAAAAAAAGCAATAAAAAATATATTGCTGAAATTAATCTTTTACTTGTCTTTTTTAATCAGAACAAAGAGAGTGCACCTCTTCCTAGTCATTTTTTAATCCTAACCCATATGTCTAATAACAACACAAAGAAAAACTATGTCTGAGGTCAGCACAAACTTTGGAATTGTTACCTTGGCTCCTAAAAAGCTGTAATAACACTCTGGAAAAAGAAATGGGAGAATCACACCCAAATGCTATAGGACGTAGGTAATACATCATCACTCTT